TACAGGCATTTGTATGCCTAGGTGTCATTTACTCATTCAGAATGAATTATACAATATGAATATTTTTTATATGTATAGTTGTACTTTAGAATTGAGTTGAATAAATTGAAATGAAATTGAATTGAATTGGATATAATATGAAAAACAGGATATTGAGTAACTATCAAGTATTCTATTTTAATAAAGTTAACTACCTCTCATTTGACTAGAATTTTAAGAACAATCATTGATTATAACCTAAGTTCAGAAGAGACGACAGTTTGTGTAATGAACTGTTGAAAGTTTTTTTATATTAATAATTTTCAAAAATATACTGAACATGAAATTCTTTTTACAATTATACTACGTTTTTGTGTACTCTAATCTTTTCTGCAATGTTATGTTTGGGGTCAGGTATTGAGTATCTCAAAACGATTTGTTTTGTATTAACTATTCTGATTCTGGTAGGGCTATTTTTGAGAACAATGCCATCGTGGCTGTTGTATAGTCAGAGTAAATGATATTGTGTACATTTAAAGTTGGCGGCACTCTCAAAGGCCAAAAAACCAATACATAGAAATGAACCGGCTGCGAAATAGACCACGTAGGCTGCAGAATTGGCGGTTTGTATTGGATAATTTTTGCTGACCGTGTTTTATGATTGGCTGAAGAGTCACAAAATTAACTTTGAAGTCATGTTATGAATAAACGAATAGAAATTGGGGAATGCGGGGGATGATTGTCGTGTTCAGTTCAATAACTGATCGCGACTTGAGTGTTGAAATTCGATATTGGTGCAGTTATAATTACTTAAAATTTTTGTTAAAGGGCAGTGAGTTTACAGCCAAAGGGTCTGCTTAGTCACAGCAATTACTGCTACATCAACTCGATTCTGCACCACTTCATAGCTTACTGAAGAGTCTAAGTAAAAACTCACCTTCCAACATTAGAACGAAAGACATGAGAGTGAGTAAAAATTCCAAGAACGACCAAGAAGTTATCAAATGTTACATACATGAAAACAGAATGGATTGAGGGTAGACAGCAAGATACGTTTTCTTTTGAACGGTCTTAGTGATGAAATGCTGGAGTCAATGGATTTGTTTAAGGTCAACTAAAGTCGAGCATACATCGTGCCGGAGATCACATTACTGAGAATTTTCTTCCTTTCCCACGCGGCTTCTTAACATTGGAAAGTGAAGACTGTCAGGGAAGCACTTGACGAATTCATCTCCAAAAACAGATAAGATGGAATATTGTCTTTGTCTGTATATCATACGGAATTTCTTGATCGAGTTTCTTACGATTTTTTGTTAGTTTTAGTGTATTTTCATTTCTTGAATCATTGTAATGGAAACATCTTGTGAATCTTTTAAATTATGCAAACATCAACAGCCATCTGCGATATGGTGTTTTTAACTGTGCTACATGTACCTTTTGGTCGCATGTTTTGGTTTCGTAAAAATTTGCTATGAGAATTGTGGCAGGACCAGAATGGAGGCAGTCATGTAGAGAGGAAAAAATCAATTTGTTGTGAAATTTTCACTAAACAGTTTTACAAAAATGCAACACGTGTTTCGCCATACAATGGCTTGGTTGGACGTGTCTTTACTAACTATATTCTACATTTTCAATGCTTTATATAACTGATTTTACAATTTGAAGTACCTACATTTCAAGTACCTGAGTTTTACATGACCATTTATTATTTTATGTGTACCTGTGTTTGTAGTGAATTAAGTTACCTGAGCTTATGTACTAGTTTCCACATTTGAAAAAATATTTAGTAATGAGGAGTTATTTAATTCTATTTGATCATTCAGTAAATCACCCGAATTCTTAAATCTATTGATTTCTCTAAACATTCTGGAAGATTGAGTTTCAAACTTTTCTCTACCAAATGTAACACATAGTATTCATGATTGTTACGTATTTATTTGTAATTTTCTACTACTATTGGTATTATTATTGTTGGCATGGAGCGACTCGATTGAAGTATGCTTATCCATCTGAATCATATCAATAGGGACCTACCTACGATCTCATGCTACTTTAATCACTATTTTTTGCTAATTACTTATTTCGCCGTGTGTGCTCTAGACTCTGTGCCATCTTCAACTGGTTGGTAACTCAGTTTAACTTCTCGTTTTGTGTACAATACAGTGAAGCTGAAGAAATAACACTCCAAGAAAGGGCCCTTTTAAACGCAGGGATTTGTGCGAGTAATTCGGTTAATTCGCTTTATGTCACAATTTTAACAGTCCACTCTTCTTTCATTTTCATTATTTTTTCGAGTATTCGAAGACGCGACAATGATTGAACTCGTGTCCTTCTGTAGTTTGCAAATGTGGAATTGGTCTTTCTATTCACGAAACTACTTCTATGTTCTTTAGTTCTTTGGGAACATGTTCTCCCTGTTTAGCCAATATATATTTTTGGGCAAGAGCCACAAGTCAACTTATATACTCTTGATCTATCCGACACCGATGTTTTTTCTTTATTGTTTTTATTGAATTTACTTAAACTATTATTCGTTCTGTAAGCTAAGTCTACATATTCTTCTTTCAAAAAACAGCTGATTTTATTGGTGGGTTCACCCAAATATGACAATATCCTATAGCTGCCGTTATCTTATCTTGAATTTGGGTAGACCTGGTCCATGGCTTGCTTTTGTAGTTTTTTGGAAAGAATGGTTACCTTATAACCGTTATTGACCGCGATTTGTTTGATCAAACTCAGCTCTCTCTGGAAACTACTCTCAGACAGTGGAATATTCAATAGGTGAAGCATACTATTGAATGCAGCTACATAATGCTGGTAAGGGTGTGTGGAGGATTTATGTATGATAATATCCGTATAAAATGGTTTGTGAAAAATTGCAAAATCATGTTTATTGTTATTTTTTGTAATACTTAAGTCAAGGTTATTTATTGAATTATTTACCTCGCTTTCAGTGGCGAATTTTATTGACGGGTGAATGGAATTGACATATTCGACAAACTGCCTATCTGTACCAGTAAAACAGACTTAGATATCATCTTCAAATTGTGAAATCAGTTATATAAAGCATTGGATATGTAGAATATAGTCAGTAAAGACACGCCCGAAGAAGCCATTGTATGGAGAAACACGTGTTTCGTTTTTGTAAAACTGTTTAGTGATTTCACATTGAAGTATTTTTTGAATACACTAGTTATGTATTTTCATCAAGTATCGGCCAATTCCATCATATACCTTTAAGTGATTGAAGATTTCAACTGTGGCAGGCTTGTTTCTCTCAAAAAAGTTATTTGAATGGAGATATAAAAAAATTAATTGAAATATCCAAGGATCATTCACTCACTATCATTTGGAAGTAACAAAGATCATCAGAGGGTCATAGACAATATATTTTTACAAGTGGATGATCAAATTATAAAGTGATGCAATAAAATGCTTGGGTTTGAAGATTGATCACAATTTCAAATGTATAAAACTTGTAAGTAATATTATAGGATGAACTCATCTCTCAATAACTTTCGTTTATTTTTGTTTTATAACCATATACCAATTTGTGAAATGTACATAATACTGGTTGAGTAGAAGAGTACCGGTAAGCTCAACTCTGCCAGTATTATTATTATTATTATTGGAATTAGTATAAATTAAGACAATTTATTATTGTACTTTTTTGCTTGAAGATCATAAAAACTGTCTTTTTTGAGTTGATCATTGAGCTGAGGCCATTTCTCAGTTCTCAGTTTTTTCATCTCCTTATTTATATTTATTATCAGTGAATTTTCATTTTTCAGAATAAAACAGTGCAAGGTCATCTGCAACCTATATTTTTAATATTATCAACATAGAGCAAATAGAAAATTGGGGCCAAAACTGAGTTGAAACTGTTTCAAAACGTTCACAATTAATCATCACTACATATTCAGATTCAAACTGAGAATAAATTTTTATAAGCACCGGTAATATCATTAAGGATTTTTAAGAATTGCATTATATTTACATTAGGTGGAATCTAGATTATGCCAATTTTGAGCTTCGGATCTGTTGAAGTTGTAATAACAACTAATGAATTCTTGTTTGATAATGTTGAAGTGTAAATATAAATTCTGAATAACCTTCAATTTTAATAAAAATAGCTACATTAGGATACAGCCATGTATTGATAAGTGTTAGAATATCAATGACGTCTTTTCACCTACATTGAATGATTGAACTCGTGTCCTTCTGTTAAAAAGTAGTTTGCAAATGTGAAATTGGTCTTTCTATTCACGAAACTACTTCTATGTTCTTAAGTCTTTGGAAACATGTTCTCCCTTTTTAGCCAATATATATTTTTGGGCAAGAGCCACAAGTCAGCAGCTTATATACTCTTGATCTATCCGACACCAATGTTTTTTCTTTATTGTTTTTATTGAATTTACTTAAACTATTATTCGTTCTGTAAACTAAGTCTACTTATTCTTCTTTCAAAAAACAGCTGATTTTATTGGTGGGTTCACCCAACTATAACAATGTCCTATAACTGCCGTTATCGCATCTTAAATTTGGATAGACCTGGCCCATGGCTTGCTTTTGTAGTTTTTTGGAAAGAATGGAGACGATAATATTTACCTTATAACCGTTATTGACCGCGATTTGTTTAATCAAACTCAGCTCTCTCTGGAAACTACTCTCAGACAGTGGAATATTCAATAGGTGAAGCATACTATTGAATGCAGACTCCTAATGCTGGTAAGGGTGTGTGGAGGATTTATGTATTGCAAAATCATCTTTATTGTTATTTTTTGTAATACTTAAGTCAAGGTTATTCATTGAATTATTTACCTCGCTTTCAGTGGCGAATTTTATTGACGGGTGGATGGAATTGACATATTCGACAAACTGCCTATCTGTACCAGTAAAAGAGACTTAGATATCATCTTCAAATTGTGAAATCAGTTATATAAAGCATTGGATATGTAGAATATAGTTAGTAAAGACACGCCCGAAGAAGCCATTGTATGGAGAAACACGTGTTTCGTTTTTGTAAAACTGTTTAGTGATTTCACATTGAAGTGTTTTTTGAATACACTAGTTATGTATTTTCATCAAGTATCAGCCAATTCCATCATATGCCTTTAAGTGATTGAAGATTTCAACTGTGGCAGGCTTGTTTCTCTATGAACTTTGTATATAGGTATACAAACATAAAGACTAATTTATCAACAGAGCAGATCATCAGTATATGCCACAAAATCCACAAATCTTCTTGTGCCCAGAACTAACCTATATCATTTATATTTGGGATGCAAAGTTTTTAACAACCTCAATGACTATCAAAAAATCTCTAAATATTAATATTTTCAAATCCAGACTTAGGGCATTACTTATTGAGAAAAATTGTTACAATATTAATGAATTCATATCATAATTCTATCTACAAGAGGGTGTTCATTTAACTTGTTTGACAACCAATTTTTATATTTGTGCTATTGATCAAATAACATGTATCAATAATTGTATTATGACAATTTTAATGTTTTTCAAATGTATTCTTGTGTATCTGCTTTCATTTAGTTTCGCTCTATTACAAGAATTTTTATGATTCTATATTTTCATATATTTTAGTTTGTTTCCTCATATTTGTAACTTTAAAATCATGTCCATATTCTGGAATTTCTTTTTAAACTCATTTTTTTTGTTAATATACTGAGATGTTTTTGTCAGTTACTGCTTGGATGCATTGATAAATCATGCTTTTCAACTGAAAAATAAAGGAAATTCTTTTAAAACTATTTTTTTGTTTATATACTGACACGTTTTTGTCAGTTACTGCTTGGATGTATTTATAAATCATGCTTTTCAACTGAAAAATACAGATGTATTACTATTATTGTTAAAACCATTGAATTCAATCCTCCTCATGAATGCTGGATGTTGTTGAATTGTCTGCCAGACATTCTCAAGAAAAAACTAAAGGGTGTGTTAGTCATTGAATGTTTTTCCTTCATAGATAATCGAAGAATATTTATCTAGATGAGATATCTTTTATTATGTTAAACTGTGTACTTTTTTCAGTTTCAATTTGTATTTTCTATTTCTATATATCTTATGATCGTTTGTGTATCACTGATATTTCATTATTCGAGAAGTAATTTATGCTGTCAGTATGTAATGCGCGCCTCTCGTTTTGACTTGTTCTATCTATGGCTTAGGAGTTCAATAAACATTATTATTATTATTCTAAAGGAAAGTTGGTTGGGTAACAGAATCAATTTTTTCTTGAAAAAACAATTGTTTTCTTGACAAGAAAAAATTGATATTGGATATTTTTAGAGTCTTCAATATTATTTTAGGAATAAAAAGAGGCAGAGAGGAAATTGGTGGTACTCGAGAGGAGAAAATAATTTAGCCATACAATGTTATAGAAGAGCCTTGGACTATTTAGATGAAGTAGAGGGAGGTATTACTGGACCACTGTCAGAAAATGCCAAAAAAGAAGTAACTGATGCAGATTTGCAAAGTTTACTTGAGGATAGAGTGAGCGTTTGTAATAACATGGCTGCTGCACAAATTAAAATGGAGCTCTATGAAGCAGCACTCAACTCCCTACAGATTGTGCTAAGATGTCAGCCTGACAACTTGAAAGCACATTTTAGAAAAGCAAAGGTAAACTACCAATATTTAGTATCTAGTTTTAGAATGTTTCTCAAAGAATCCATTTGCATATTTTAATTTCCAGAACAGGTGGGAATAGGTCTCTGCGAGTAATTGAATATATTCATTTGAACTTGGTTGTGTTATTCTAAACCTTTATCTCATTTCATAGACATACAAAACATTTAGTTTCCAAAAGTATGTATCGTCAACTTGGTTGGTTGGTGTTTCAGATTATTTTATGCCTTTCTGTCCATGTTTTTACATTATTTTTAGTTTTAAGAACCACTGATTAACGGAAAAACAGATTTTTTTTGCTGATCTGGTTCGATATCAGTGATTCGATCCTTCAATGGGGGACTAGCAACTAGTTTTTCATCTTCTATGTATATCCGTTAGAAATGAAGTGCTATCTATCTAACTTCTGTGATACCAAAGTCTCATATCATTGAGAAGAGTAGTAGGTTTTTACTAGTTTTAAATGAACAATAATGCAAGAGAGGGCGTTGGCCTCAAAAAGTTGACTAAAACTTCAACAGTTTCATTTTAATGTATTTTTGATGTTTTAACACTGTTTTCAAATAATGTTATGATTTCAGGTATATATAGGAAAAAATGATCTGCCAGCTGCAATGAAATGGCTCCAAAAAGCAAAAGAACTGGCACCAAATGATTCTGAAATTCAAAAAGAAATAACTGTAGTAGGTAAATTACTAGAAAAACAAAAAGCAACTGAAAGAGAAGTCGCCAGACGAATGTTCAACGGACCAAAAAAGGACAAAGACTTGGAGAAGATTATTTCTAGAAAAAGCAAGGTACAATTTTTTTGTAGACATCAATGCAAGTATTGTTTCCTCAAATTTTTTCAGGTTCGATATTGGGCAACTATAGGTGCTGTTATTGCCGTAGGTGTAGGGTACGCAGCCTATCGTTTTAAATAGTGAAAAGATTTTGCATTTTTACTTGTTTTAAAATTGTAGGTAATTTTATCTTGGTATTTTAGGTTATTTAGATTTGTTTTATAGTGATCTCAAAAAACTTTTTTTTCAAACGTCATAAAAATATTCACTGAGTTGATGTTTTTTTAGGTCACATATAGACAGATTATGTTTTACATTAATTTGTTATATCCTGTTATTTTATTACATTTTCATGAGACAGTAAGGTAGTTTAATTCTCCTGCAGTTTATTTTCATTGAATTTAGACAAGGTATCTGTAGAGTAGGAAGGGTGAGTGTAAGCCCACAGCACTTAGGCCACATGTGACCCATTGTATATCCTCCCGAGGAGTTTTCCTAGATCATCGTCCATCCTGTCCTTTCCAGGAAGGTGGACAGGTCACTGGGAGACATCTCCTTCATATCGGCAGGTGTAGGCCAAGACTCGCCGAGGTGTTACCTCAGTTGACAGTGGCCAGTCAGAAATCCTACTGTTAGGCGTAGATATTTCATGGTCATCGCCAGATATTTCTTCGGCGCCAGCTTCCAGGGTCGCCCAAGGTGATCCTGACAAGATTGCATCCTTTGATTCCATCCCATCTCTTTTCAGACAAGGTAATATAAATAATAAAATAAACATCGTTATTCATATATGTTTTTTGCTTACAAATATTTCGTGACCTCAAAAAAATTTATGAAATAGTTCTCTCAGGGACATTATCACTTCTGTTCAACCAGGGAATTGAGACAAGAAGGAAATATGATTTATGATAATGGTCTAAACTCTACCACTTTAATTTTTCAATCAATGAATCATCAGTAAAATTATTGAAATTTAGGTGTATGTCTACAATTCTTCCCAAAGGCCAACTGTTTTTTAGTAGCTTATACATGACTATGACAATATCTTCTTTTACTACGTTTTTCTTTTCTTGAAACCACATGCATCTCTTAGTGAGTGTGGTATATATTCCCTAGGAAAGTTAAAACTTCTTGTTCGTTAAAAATCTTTTTCAGTCATTCTTTCACCGATCGTACCACACGCTCCCAAATTCCCCTATATGTGGGCTTGCTGGTGCAATGAATTTCCAATCAATTTCCTGAGATACCATCTTTCTCTTGATCAAATCTTAGTCTAAATTTTTTATTATTATTTCAATTCTCGATTTGCTGATGTAAGATTTGAACTATTGTCGCTCCAAATTGATAGAAATGAATCTCCTAATTGCTAAAATCGCTAAATCTGTGGTGAGAGATTCTGAGAGCTCTATATGGATAGCTCTAATTGAAAAATATGTAAAGATTACCCCTTATACTTTTTCTTTTTTTCGTTCAATTGAAACTTCCATGGTTCCAAAATAATCCATTCTAGTATAGGTGAATGCTTCGGGTGGTTTCTGCAGTCGTTACTCTAGAAATTGTCCCATGCAGGAACTTGAGGTTTTGTTCTCATATCACAAAAATTGCAAAATTTTATTGTTTCAATTACTAATTTTCTGGCATGCAGTATCCAAAATCTTTGCTTTATTTCATTTAGAGTTTTTTGTAAACCTGCATGAATGTTTTTTGAATCGTAAAATTTAATAAGTAATTTAATGAATGTGTGTTTACTGTCCAGTTTGATTGGCCTTTTTGCTTGAGAAGAGAGTTCTGTAGAGTTATCTGTTCTTCCCAAACAGATATCCAGATAGGGTGACAATTGATGAAGTTTGCTTGATTTATGTATAGATCTATTTTTCATAAAAGACAGTATTCTTCTGAAAAACAATCCTCTTGCTTTTTCCTATTCCAAATTTCTTCTGCTCTCTTCAATTGTCAATTCTTGTTTTTGGAGATTTTTGCCAAATTGTTTCATGTTATTTTGAAATCTGAAAACATAAGCTATGCATTTTATTAGCTTCATGTAGTCAGAAAATCTTGTGATGTCTGGTAAATATTCAATTATATCTGAAACTGTTAGCTATATGAATTCGTGTTTGAGTTTGAAGGTTTGGATTTTTTTGAATTTCTTTGTCCTTGTCTCTTCTTTTTAGTTCCATTGGCCAAAATTCTTATTTATTTAAAAATTCCGGATTGTTTTCTAGTATATTTATGTTGAGTAGCTTCATCTGCTATGTTCAAATTGGAATACAAAACCGTTTTTCAGTCAGTCCAAAAATATGTTTGATTTACTCTGAAAGAATATTCTTTCCTTAATGTTATTGCTAATCTGGAACCCATTAAATACCCAATCCCTCAGTTCAAATCCTTCTCGTCTTTGAATGAAAATGACTTCTTTTATAAGACGAATACCTTCTTCCTCTGTGGACACAGTGTAAAGATAATCATCCATATAATGTCTATTTATTTTTCCATCTACTGCTTGAGGATACTCGTTCTGGAACTCTAATGCATTTCGACTTTTGATATATTGTGCCGAAAAATCAACACCTTCATTTCGTAGATGCTGGGTTCTTCATTGGAATGAATTCTCCAGAGGAATCGTCCAATACAATGTTTTTCTCTGATACCTATTCTGTGAAACATACACTGAATATCTATTGAGACATCTCTCTCCCTGTATTTGAAAATAACTCCAACAATAGAATTCAATAAATCAGGTCCTCATAATAAAAATCATTCAAACATTTTCCTTCCACCTTGGCAGCCGCATCAAAGACAAATGTCAACTTGCCAGGTTTGTTTTCAGTGTACTTGATTCATCTTTTTTTATCACTTCCTCTGCATAGTTTTTTTGTAAATATTCTTCTATTTTTTGTTTGTAGGTTATAGCGAATTTCAAATCTCTAGCCATTTTCCTTCCTTTTGGAGAGTTTCATGCTTACTTTCTGGTAAAGTTAAACTATCATCTCTCAATAACAAACCAATTTCCCAAGACTTTCCATTACCTATTTTTCTTGAAACTGATTCTATCATTTGAATTGCTTGTTCGATTGATGACCTATTTTTTTGTAGAAATTCATATTGAATATAGAATAAAAAAAACTTTTGTCTAATTTCTACTGAGTTTATTATTTGAATTGCTTTTTTGTCTTTCGAATTTATCAATCTATTTTCAGAGATTTTTACTCTAAATTTTACTCTCACAAATTACCATGTGCTATCCAACCCAATTTAGAACGCTGGCGAGTTCTTACCTTCATTTACCTCTCGACTAGGGATTAGATCCCAGTTATCTCGTCCTATTAACAATTGCGGTTTTGCGTGAGTTATACTATAGCAAAATCCATATATTTCAGATAGCTCCATTTTTCTTTAAGTCTTTTCCCATCAACCGTTTGCCTAGGAAGATCCACGTCTTTTACTGTATATGCATTTTCCATCTGATAAAATGTGGTACTTTTTTTGTCGGCTATATCAAAACTTACTTTTTTGAAAATAATCTCTTAAAAGTGTCTTCATGGATCTACTTCAAACCTAACTCTGTTTCTTCGCCAACGACGTTCAATTTGTCTGCCAAATCTTGATCAAGAAGAGTCGTCGTCAAGTTTTATTGAATAATGGATAAATTTCAAGTTCATTCTGAGATCTTATTATGACTGGAGCGATTTTCAAAAAAAAATCTGTACTGAATGATTTTGAGGTTTGAGCAACTATTTCTAGACTTTTAATATAATTTTATGATGTATTTTGTGTGCTCTGTTCTCACTCAATTATGTTACAGTTAATTTTTTGAATTATTTTTTCCCGTGCTATAAACATTGTATTTTTGTTGGTAAAAATAAATCGTTATTATTATTATTATTATTTTTTCGCAGTTGTTTACCACACATTTATTTTTGTTACGACAAAATTTCATTTTAATAGATGTTGTATCGTACCTGGAATATATGACATAGATGTTCCCAAACAACAAAAACATATACCGTTACTTTTACGAAATTCCATTTTCTGTATATTACAAGATCCAAAAAAGTTTTGCATTTATCTATTATATGTTTCTTTTCACACATGATACATTTGTAAATTAAAGTAATCTTATTTTGAGAAGTGACAAGAGCTTTTTGGAATCTCTATGAGGCTGATTTTGAGAGAACTTACCAGATGCCTGATTTGTAGAAGGCTTACTCACATTCATAGATTGGGCGTAGCTTGCTGCGCTATTTTTTTCTGACTTACAAAACAGCCACTTTTTAAATTCTTGTATAGTGCTCTTACCATTTTTCTCAAGTACCTTTTCACCCCATGAAAGCTGCATGTTGTAGGGTAACTTTTGTAAAATTTCCTCCAGAAGTTGAGGGTAATCCAAATAGTTCTGCATGTCCATGATTTCCAGGGTAACCACTAGATTTGACACATCTTTCGCAAAATGTGTTCAAGACATGAAATCATTATTTTTCATTGTAGGAAAGTTTTTTGCTTTATTAACCAGACTCTTCACAATGAAATCTGATTGCCGTATCTACTAATGAAAATGCCGATAATTGGTTTGATTAATGAAGTAGATCTTCTAGCATCCCCTTTCTAAACTTTTCTCAACCTACACATATTTTCCTTATGTTAAACCTAATAACTTAGTTGTTGAAAGAAATTGTTGATAAAAACTTATCCATTGAATAGTTTCCCCAGAAAAATTCGGTAAATCTTTGTCAATTGATTGTCTCGCCAATAACTGCTTGATTTCTGCACCTGAAGCCTATTCATTTTTTCTATGATGTGTATATTTTGCCCCTGTGCTATTTTCAAACGAAGCCCTTGTACCTAAGAATATTGTCAATTTGACTTATGTAAAAAGACCTCTTATCCGACATATTCTTGACATGTTCTTTCGTATTTTGCAACCAATTATGCACTTTCATTTCATAATCAACTGAAGAAATCTCGTCACCTCCCAAATGAAATTTCTCACTTATTCTAGCTTTTTCTAATGCCAACCTATTTTCAATTGTTAGCTTTTCCATTTCGAACTGCTTCGACAACAATATAGTCATTTGTTCGTCATCTTTTGCCCGGACTGTCATGAGTTTTCTTCTATAAATACTTGCAATGTATCTCACAGATAAAGATTCTGAAATCGAGTTTGATTGGGCACCATCATTTTCACTGCTTCTACTGGACGAGAATACAGATAACTTGTCTTCAGTGGCATTACGTTCAGCATTGGCAACTTTCCTAACACCTCTGATTGTGACATCCTTTTCATGACTCTCACTTTCTGCTTTAGCAGTTTTGCTAAGCGTTCCTATTTTGCCGTTATCTAGGCTGAAGGACCAGCACGTTTA